GGGGGGGGGGGCACTGACCGACGTTGGGGTCCCTTAAAAGTTTCCTCGGCCAAAAAGGGGTCACGAGTGGAGGAAGTTTAAGAAGGCCTGTTTTAGAGGATGTGACAGTGTGGGTTCGATGTATCACATATGGTGGCTATGTCCTAAAGTATGTACATTTTGGAATAAAGTATATATATTGATCTATAAAATTACCAAGGCACGAGTCCCACATGAACCATATTTTGCATTATTCAATAATTATATTCCTACAGTCTCTAAAAACTTAAATAGATTGATAATGTTTCTTTTTCTGGCAGCAAAAATTACTATTGCTAAGGCTTGGAAAAAACCCAAGGTTCCTTTTTCATACTTTAAAGCAAAAGTTTCATGGATTATAATCCGTGAGAAACTTTATAGTATAGCACAAAAAAGAAAGCTATATTTGAAGTGGTTTGGGAACTTTGGAGGTCCTGTTTCAGTATAGACGAGCCTGACCTGTAAAATATGGGTAGGAGATGGGGAATGACCTCGGGAAGACCCTTTCTGCTGTTCTTTCCCTGCTGATAACTGGATCTAGTTTATTATTAAATATGGATAATGGAAAGCAAGGTTACTGTCTATATTTTCAGTTTGTAGAAGTTTTAAAAGTGACAGATCTTTGAAAGTGGTAGTAGAAGGGATGAAACTGGATATTTGGTAGATATATTGGAATTATTTTAAACCCCCCACAACTTTTTTCTTCTCCCTTTCCTTGTATTTGTTAGTATTTTTATTGTGAAAAGTTGAAATTTTTAGTATTGTTCTTTATTGTTTGTAAAAAAATGTATGTGAAATACTTAATAAAAATATTGAAGTATAAAAGTAACTGTTTTGGGAGATATTAATTTGGTGGGTAAAGTTCCTCTGTAAAGCCCGTCTATCACAAACTGATATTAGAGTTTTAGGTATCAGTCACTTCTGATAGTCCCATTGAGATCTCCCCATTTGAATTCCTAATTCCTTCATGCCAAAGTGAAAACAAGCAGGGGATTTTCACACGGGGGGATTTATCAAAACTGGAGCAGCATGAATCCGGAGCAGTTGCCCTTAGTAACCAATAAGCTTCTATCTTCAGTCTGTTCAGTGAGGCTTTGGCAATGAAAGTTAGAAGCTGATTGGCTACTATGCACAACTGCTCCAGATTTTGACTGCTCCAGTATTAATAAATTCTCCTCACTATGTGCTGTGTTCCCCGTAATGTAAGCTATACAGACAATCCAGGGGAGAGAATGAGATCTCCTTATAGTGATCACAGCAAGACTGTAGAGCTGGGACTGTGCATCCTGAATATTCAAACTGAAAATAAAAGAGATACAAGAAACTGCCGAGCGAGTCTACCTGAAATTTCTGTCTTTCGTAAACTGACCCTTGAAAGTTACCCACTTGGCATCAGTCACAGGTCAAAACACAATTCTCTCTTTTGGAGCCAAAATAAAATATATGCATGCAAGTTCATCATTATACGAACCTGACTGTAGCATCAGATGAAGCAGAAAGTAAATGCTGATCATTGCTGGACCAGCACAGATCATAGACAACATTGAGGTGGCCATGAAGCTCTCTCAAATAGTGCCCAGAAGGGATTTCATATACTACAGGGAGAAAAGTAAAATCAAGATAAAACATACATGGAAGAATGTCAAGAATATTTAAACATAGAAAAATTGTCTGATTCCAACTAAAAACAAAAGGTGACTTACAGCTGTATAACAAAAATGGCAACAAGAAAGTGTATGTACATGTACATTTGAATTTAAGATATGTTTTTATTATACAAATTACTCTGCATTTTAAAATATCACCTTTAACACAAAAGAATATTACGTTGCTCATTGTACCTGTGTTACTGAGTGACTGATGTGGAAAATATACTGGCCTTGTGAAAAAAAAAAAAAAAAAAAATTTTTTTTTTTAAATGTGTTTAATTAGCATTTCAGATTTAAAATAATTAAAAAAAAAAAAAAATCGCAAAGACCTGTAAAAGTGCATGTCAAGGCAAAAAAAAAAATGTGCAATACAATCTCATACATTTTCAATCCATTCAAGAACCTTGCCAGTACAGAGGTATACACACTGATCTCCCCAAAACGCACTCAGCTCTTAATTTATTTTTGCGTGCTGACAACAGTACACAAAAAAAGGGGGATGAAGTAGTGCCCTGCCCATTTTTTGCTAAACTTCTCATTGCACCTGCAATACTGAGTAAATGATACACAAAAATACACAGGCCTTGTGATAAAAAAAAGAGGCTTTTAACCCTTTCCCTGCCAAGGACGTACGGCATACAGAGCAACAAAAGTGCTTCCAGCTGGCCAGCTCAGTATGCCGTACAGACCTGGCATTTACAGTTCTACTATAAGCTAGGGCATGGCAAAGCTTTGTGACTCATTGCCATTTGTGATACCTTGTGTTGCAATTAAATATACACCTGTATCATTTTATCACAACACAAACACCAAAACAATTTTTTACATAAGTCGATTATTTTCAGTTTTGCATACCTTCATTTTTTTACCTTTTCGCAAAAAGGCGCAATTACAAATTTGCTAATATTTGTTATTTATTATCTCAATACAGTTTTATCTTTTAGATTTAGTCAGAAAATATTTTTTTTTGTGCACGGATACTGATTTTGGTGTGTTTTAACAATTGAATTGTGTATTTTTATCGATTTAATATTAATTTGAGAAACATTTGCGCAATTATCGCAGGGCCTACAAATTTAGTATCACCATCTTTTTATTCTACCGGGCCTGCGCTTTCAGAAAATATATGGTTCGGGGGGTCTTTTACAAACGCTAGCAACGCAGCAGTTGAAAATCAAATCAATAGGAAAAAATTGCAGAAAATTCAAAAATGGCTTGGATTTGAAAAATGTTCCTGAGGGCTTGGCAGCGAAAGGGTTAAAAGTGTGTTTACTCAGCATGGCATATCTTAAACAAAAATACAATCACAAAACCCCAGTGAAGTGTATGTCCATTGTTAGGACGGTCTGTCCGGACAATGTGTTAAAGACATGTATGTGAGCATTGTATAATATTGAGAGGAAACTCATTCTGACCCTCAGTCAGACACTATAGTTTCATTATTAAACTGCTCAAAGTAGCCTGGAATCTGCACAAAGGCCCTCACCATAGAGACATCTAAAAAGTAAGAAATACATTTAAAAAAATATATTTTTAGATATGCTGTGTGAACAGGAACACAAACATTTAGTGGGGTTGTCTCAAATGTGACTGCAAGAGTGGAAATACACTGCAGTTTTTGACATAGAAATGTAAAAGTTAGTCAATAAACAAACAAGTGTCAATGAATAAGTTATAGCTTAAATTGCAAACCTGTCTAAACTGAAAAAGGAAAACACTAAAGGATAAAAGAAACCATATACACATCAGTGGTATCATATTGCCATCTAGTGGCCAGAAAACCCATAAAATGACAATATACCTCTAGACAGGCACTTGGATCAAATTTGTAATATAGAATGAAAACCGATATTTGGGAATGCTTTGCACCTTGATGAACTAATATCAGTGCACTGTATTAAATGGTGGTATAAATCGGATTAAATTGCTCTTTCAGGCTGTATGGCAGATACGCATAAATCAAAAATAAATCGGCAGTGGTAAATAATGGTAATAGTGTAAACAGTTAAGAGGACAAAATCCAGGTTCATTGGCCAAGGTTTATGGAAAGAAGATTAATGAGTAATTGGATTACATGCAGTCTATAGAGAGCTGATGAGCTAAACCGAGCTGTACACAGGAAATTGCTAAAGGAATTGGGCTGTCTGAGATTTGCTGTTTGGAATTTTAACAGTCTCCATCCAGTATATATCAATGCAACGCAAGCTATCAAAAGACAGATCACTACAATATTTGATAATGCAGGCACTGTTTATTATGATAAGAGTTGCCATCCCTCGTCCCCCAGTCTAGATGTATATGAAATGTACTATTATGTCCCACACCTATACAAAAAAGGGATTTTCCAATCTGAGCACACTTGCCCTATTGTTTATATTATGGACCTATGCTTCCTTATTATGTACAACAATAAGGCAAACATAAAGTTGGGCATTTTGCCCAGGAATAGAGACAGCCCTAGTGTATCCAGCTGGGTAGGGTAAAATCTCTTAAATCTAAACACTTTTAAGGCAGTGAAAAAACAAAATGTTACAATAAAATTTCTACAAATAAGCACTATGGTATCTGGTTAAATCGTAGTTTAACACACCTTTAAATGCAGCACAATGTATAAATGAAATATCCCATTTTTGTATAGGTGTGGGACATAGTACATTTCATATGCCAATTCCAAACAGCAAAGATATGGCATGGCTGACGATGCTGCCCCTATGTGTGAGCCAGTGGTTTAGGGTTGCCAGCTAGGGTGAGCCAGCCTGCAACAGTAAGTATTGTTACTGGCAGGATCTCTGTATGCAGTAAAAACACGATGCCAAAAAGGTAATGAAAAATAGATTTTAGGTTTACATACATATTCATGTTATAATAAGCATGGCTTAAAAGATACAGGAAGAAAGAACTTAAAAGAAAACTATGGTGTAACCTTTTTATCCCGTAGTTCTCTTTAGGGTCAAGGGAGGACATATTCTAACGTCCTCACGTGACCCAAAGCTCAGTATATAGCAAGCTATACAGGTGAAACTTGAATAATTAGAATATCGTGCAAAGTTCATTTATTTCACTAATGCAACTTAAAAGGTGAAACTAATATATGAGATAGACTCATTACATGCAAAGCAAGATAGTTCAAGCCGTGATTTGTCATAATTGTGATGATTATGGCTTACAGCTCATGAAAACCCCAAGAACCCCAAATCCACAACCTCAAAAAAGTAGATTATTACATGCAATCAATAAAACAAGGATTGTACATAGAACAATATCGGACCTCTGAAAAGTACAAGCATGCATATGTACTCAGTACTTGGTTTGGGCCCCTTTTGTAGCACTTACTGCAATTACTTTTGCACGATATTCTAATTATTCGAGTTTCACCTGTATACTGAGAGCGCCGCAGCCGGGACAGATCCCGACAATACTGTCAAGATCCACCCAGCTGGCTGATCGACAGCGGGCTCTGCCTATCTAGAGACTGAGTCAGCTGTCCCGGCCTCATCCACCATCCGTTTTTCTAGTCAGTGCTGGTGGATCGGAGAGGGGAGGGGGAATCCCTTTGGGGTGCGGTGACTGACAGTCACCGCTCTCTGCAGGGAGATGATCGGGAAGTGAGTGAGCGTCTATAGGTGTTTGCTTACTTCCCAATCAATAGAGCCAACTTGTGACAGTTTCAATGTCACATATCGCCTCCAACTATGAGGATGATAGTAAATCACTTACCTCATACTTCTACTTTTAACGTAACTTAATTCTCTTTAAATTACACTAAGACCTTTATACTTCAAAAAGTGCCATAGTGTTTTTTTTAAAACAAAATATGGTTTTAAGAAAATAAGAAACAAAATATGGTTTAAAAAAAAAAAAAAGAAGAACTTACAGCATATCGGATAACCATCCCTGTTTGCAAACGCTGCAGCCAGTGTTCTTCCATCATTGGAGAAACACACGAAAGAACATCCCATTTGTCCAGCACGCAGAGATAAAAGCTGCCTGTTGGGGATACGACATGCCTACAAGGACAAATTTTACATACATACTAAGTATTTAACTTTCTGCAAATTCTGCTGCATGCTTCCATAAAAGCCACAATATGAAAAGACACAATATATGCAGGAATAGTAAAGCATCAAAAAAGCTGCAGAAAATCAAACCTATCATTTAAAATGTAATGTTAAGGTGCATATGTGCACAGACTGTGGGCACTACATTTCTAAAATATTCTCAAAGTAGAAATATGGTCTTCAATTAAAAATATGGACTGCAGCATCTGCACTTACAGTTTTCTGTTCGACTCCCTACAAAGTCCCACAAACATCTGCTGATCTTGCCAAGTCCACCTAATGCAGCTTCATGTGAATGTGTGGCAACAATGCTGGACTGAATTTGAATCCTGAGCAGAGTTGCCACTCTCATGTAGATTGTGACTGCTTTTAATACAATGGGAAGAAAACATGTTGCATGTGGCATGGCTATTAGTATTGTCACTTCTGAGACTCAAACCTGTAGCTTGTTGAGTCAGCACTTGACCTCACTTAGTCCTGCCCACTGACAGAACCGCTTCCCACTGTGAGATGAATATCTGGCCCTTTCCAGCATGTGAGGCACAAATGAAGTAGGATTTGTGTCAGTCAGGGAAGGCAAAGAACGTTTTTTGTTTAGTTTATAAGGCTTGTGCATTGCATAGTAACTGGATTTGGGACTTGTTAGACTCTCATAAAAGGAGCCTTTAGCTGTACTTTACCAAAACAGTAAAATGGCTTTAGCACAAGTCCTCATTACAGGCACTGTGAAGAAATTTGTTTTTAAATTTTACAACAGAGGCACAGAAATTGCAGTCCCTCTCCATTTATTTTCTCTGGGAGTAAGGACTTAACACCTGTCAGCCCTCTAAAGAAAACAAACAGCAGGCACTGCAAGTTGTTAGAAACCGACTGAAACCCAACTTCACACTCTGTTGCGATCCTTGAACATAGATTGCGTCAACGGTGCCTGTGGCTATAGAGGTCAGTGTGAACTTGTATAAAAGTTCTTTTACTGCTTGGGAACAATATGCAAACACTTTAAAGTGCACCTGTGCCCAGATTATGGATGTTAAAGAGCAGTTTTCCAGGCAGGAAAGTAAAAGCAATTAGTAAGCTACAAATGCTATCCAGAAAATAATGCAACTGTTTTAATGTTAGACATTTTACTCAGTATACATTAAAGTGTATCTATAGTCAAAACATTTTTTAGTTTTGGATTAAGTGGAGAAGGATTAGAATTCCTGCCAGGTTCTACTGCCATCGGAGGCTCCTTCGGGGAGATTTCTTTACTTCCTGTCCTGTAAAAATAGAGGAAGCAGATTTTGCAACTGGAAGTTTGGACTTCTTCTGCGGTAAGAAGATGCACTTGTCCCAGCCCCCACCTGCAGCTTCCTTGATGCAAGTATCTACAAATTCGCCAAAAAGGCATTTCCCAACACATTCTTCTTGCATGGAGCTCTACAGATCAGCATTTAAGCCAGAGGCTCCATCACAAGTACATAGACAGGAGATTCGTCCTGGAAATCTGTTGGGATGACGTCCGATAGGCCATCCACAGAACAACACAGGCCCAGGGTTTTTCAGGGACAGAAAAGCATAGCACAAGGTTTTGGGTATAGCTACACCTTAAACTGAATTCTGTGTAATTGTAGGTAGCCAGAAAACAGAGCATCTAACTTCACTGGGTCATTGAAAGCTTATTTCCTGTAGTTTGTGCTGTGTAACTTCCACTGGCTTTCCTTACTGTATCAACAATCCCACTAAAACATTCCAAGGTAGGTTCAAATATGATTAGCAGCTGCCTAACCGTGTTAGGATTGACATGTTATTGTATGAAGCAACAGCAAGGAGCCTACTGTGGGTGTGTTTGGCAATATCTGTACTTTGGGATGCACCCCAGCAATGTCTAAATACAAAACTAAAGTTGTGAGCTGGTAGGCTATGCCTCCTTTATGTATCTCATAATAGGATTTTGTTCTTACTGTCAAAACCTTTTCTCAGGATCCATTGAGGGACACAGCTCTGAAGAATTCTGAGACGTAGGGTTATGCTGCTGACTCTAGGAGAATGGACACTAGGCAAAAAATCAAAGAAGAAGGTTCCTCAGAAGTTAAGGCATGATCACCCCTCCATTTTGAAACAGACATTTCTGATAACACAGATTAAATAAATTGCCACAACTCTCCTCAGAAAATTACTCACAGCCCCAACCAGTGTGAAGGGAGATATACTATAAAGGAGCAGCAGCAGTATAACTGAAGAAATGGGTGTGTTGCTGTGGAAAAAAAGGTGATCCATGTCTTTTCCCAACAGTAGATTTCATATAAGGAGCACAAACCAGATTAAAGCAAGCCGAGAAAAAAATGCTGTGGCCTGCTGAGAGAAGCACCACATATTGCCACTGTAATTTGCAGAAGAAATGATCTGCGCATGTGCTCTGTAAAAAAAACATGTGTCGTCACTTTTTCTATCATCTTAGGATACTAAGTGAAACTGGCAGGTGTGTGATGGGAAGGGTTATGTCCCTTTAAAGTGGCAGGCTTTTAATGTTTTGCCTAGTGTCCAATTCTCCTTGAGGCAGCAGCATAACCCTACATCTCATGATTGTTCAGAGCTGTGTCTTTGGCTATAGAAAAAAAAAAATAGTTTTTGTTTTATTTTTCTACTTATTTATGCATTTTTGATTTGTGTAACTGCCGCTCTTGCTGTGCAGCGTCGCCTGCATGTAGCTGTGAAATAAAATATAAATAAAAGGCATGTGATATAGAAAATGAATTCATATACTAAATACTATCATTACAGCTACCAGAATAAAATCATTTTTACTATAGTGGGCTTTTCACGGCTGTTGAGAAGATATCGGACATACAGGGAGTAAGTAAAACAACCACTGTAATGCAGTACGAACATTAAACTGATTCCATTTTACACAAATATTTTTTTTAAATTGAAAAGACTATACATTCCCTTTAAAACATATTTAGGCTTGTAACTTTTACTTGTCAACGACTACTAAAAGTTTATTAAGACTGTCACCTGTCCTGGTAACCGAGTCCACTTGAATGTTTCCTTCTGCTTACTTTCGCCTGAATCAGACCCCTTCATGGCAACATCTTGCTGCAGGTCAGCATTTGATAAGCTACTCCCAAATGGAAAGCCCAGGTTTGTGGACGAATTTACCTGAAAATCAATTCCAATCAATCATAAACAGTGTCTTTATTTATAATACCCATTATACAGTAGCTGACTATTACACAATGTAAACAATAATCACAGGCTTGTCATGATACAAATGGCTTGGACTTTCTGCATACAATAAAGCTTAATGTTTAAGAATGGCTTGGGGATAACACATTTAACTGCCTCCGGGCCGGCCGAAGTAGAAAAACGGCCGGCCCGGAGCTCTCTAGATCTGAGCGGGCGTCTCTAGACGTCCGCTCAGACACGCGCGAAATGTTTCCTAACATAATGTAAAAAAAACTTTTTTTTTTCAAAATTTTCTGTAATTTTTCCTAATTATAATAAAAAATAAAAACCCCAGTGGTGATTAAATACCACCGAAATAACGCCCTATCTGTCCCCAAAAAATGGTATAAAATTCATTTCAGTACAGCGTTGCATGACGGAATAAACGTCAGTCAAAGTATCGCAGCGCTGAACACTGAAAAATGGCCTGGCCAGGAAGGGGGTCTAAACACCTGGTCTTGAAGTGGTTAAACTTGGTTTAAGCATACAAAAAGAAATGAAATCATACTTTCAGTTGGCATAGCATCAATATTGGTGTAGCTACAGTATGTATTCATGGACACAGAGGGAAAAAAAAACTTGAATGAAGAAAAGGTAGATTGTAAAAGAGAAAATAACATGCCTATCTAAGTTCTAATGCAGGCTTTACACACGGCAATTTTCCAGCAACTTGAACAAAAAAAACAAAGTAAGGTAACCTATGCTACCCTATTCACTGGAAAGGTTACCTTGACCGGGTTGATCATTTATCTGACTAACTCATGGAAGAACTACATCTTTTAGTGTATGCAGTTACCATTCCAAGGCTTATGTTGTTCCCTACATGATCCAGTCTGTTTAGAAGGGATGTTGTGCTTTTCTGATATTTAGGACTACAATTAATACTACACTCATATGGAATATGTAATGATATCATGCTTTGAGAGACACAGACTGATTACATTATTTCCACTTAAAGTAAGATCAACCAGTGAACAGCTAGGATCCAAAATAAAACAGCCATCTCAGGAGCAATCTAATGGAAGAGAAGGATGAAGACGTTCAGTGTGAAAAAGGATGGAGTTCCAAGTCCCTTTTAGGGTCATTTCACACCAGATGCGTTGGGGCTTGCCTGGCCACTGTTTCCTGGGCAGCCCTGCAATTTGCCTTGTCATGGACGTTCTTGGTGCACACCACTGCGTTGCAATGGGAATGTGGTGGTGTGCCCTAAAAAAAAAGGACAGCAGTTACTTTTTTTTCAGCATATCGGGATGCGTCGCGAAACAACCACCTTGCCCCGTGTTGTGCCCATAGAACTGACTGAAAAGTCACTTGTGAACTTAGGAAAAAAGAACCAATGTGGATATAGTCTTAAACAGAAGGTTTACAGCTGAGAAATCTGCAATCCTCATGGGAGAAACATTTGAATTGTGTACAAAGTAGTGTACCTGTAGGCTGAGATACTTCTATGTCATTAACAGATCTCCTACGGTGATGATGGCAGCCATAACGAGAAACCGGGAGGTTTGGGAATGCAACTGTTAAGAGTAACAACAAAGAAACACCCTCCCAGAAAGGGCAAAGTCAATAAGATGTTGTTTAAATGTGTCATGTACATCCCAAGGACGTACCCACAGTGACCTGCTCATATGATCAGACATAGCTGCCATGCAAGACACTAACATAAAAGCTTCTAAGTGAAGGGCCTCACGCTTAGGTTCTTCAAACTCATCCTATGATCCATGAGTTGATAGCTTCCTGTTTTAAAAGATGTGATCCATTCAGACATGATTTCACAAATTAAAGTAACTGCTAAGAGGGTAGATAGTCATTCCAGGTAGCTCAAACTGGGACCCTAACTGAGCATAACTGAAGCCCTAAATGTAAAGACAAATGTTCACCATGGTAAGAAGATGTCCATTATGTTGAAGCACAGGAGAGTCCACAGACAGTAGGGACAGTCAGGAATTCCCTATAAGGTGAAAATACGATGAAGATCTTTCCAACAGAATAAGCCATAAAAGAGAGTCTATATCTAGATTAGTAGACTGAACCTCTATAGGCTTAATGGGGCATACAGCATCAACCATATTAGACATAACTTTAAACATATTAGGTGCACTAATGACCCAATAAAACATAGATCTCACTGGGGTCAGAAATAATCATAGCAGACTAAGGCATATTTAAAAGTGAAGTGCCAACGGGGTCAGAGGTAGGTGTTGGCAAAGAATTAGCAGTGGAAAGTTTGAGTGTCTGCAAGCAGGCTGATTCATTAATTGTGTACAAACTTACAAAATAGTCAGAAGTGGAGATTAGAGGTCTGGTAGCTTCAGCAGAGGTAGCAGGCTCATGTAAAAAAACCAGAGAGCCTGAGGACAAACTTAGCAGAGGCAAAAAGGCAAAAGCATCCAACCCCCTAGAACACTAGCAACACACTGAAGCATGATAGTTAGAGGCAGGGTTATATGGGGACAGGCCTTTTTTTTTGCCAGTGTCCACCTCCTGAAGACAGCTGCATAACCCACATGTCCTTTTATATAATAATAATGCTATACATTTATGCTGCCTAGGAGTGGGTTGACGGTAAACTATATTTTGCTGGGTTTTGCATATGACAAAAAAAAAAAAAGTATCTGAATGTCTATGAATTACTATATCCTGTGTCCCTCAGTAGATGATAAATAAATCATATTTTTCATATTTTAATTATACTATTAGATACTTACATTATCTGGCAGCTTTAATCCTTTAATGGTCACATACAAAGTGGAAGGGTACAGATTTCTGGGATATTTTAACCACCAATCATACACAGGAATGCTGGAAGCAATACGGTATCGAGGAGGATAGTAAAGTTGTAAACGTAACTTTTTATCTACGTTAAGCACTTCATTAGCCCCTACAATCTGAAATTTATAAAAAAAAAATAAAAAAATATTAATTTGTATGGAATCGCATTGGTTCCTAGCAGCGTTATCCAATATGTATCTGGCTTGCAATTAAACTGGACCTAACACTCCCCCTTGCTCTTGCTAAAACACTGAAAGAGGGGAGGTTACATTTGCTCTAGCTTCTATAAAAGAAGGGTATGACATCAGCATCCTGCCGATGAAATATTAGGGCTACTCCAAATCTTGTGAGAAGATGCTGGGCATCATACAATATCATCATCTTTACGATTTGGCCTACTCAATAGTGCCCAAAATCTTGCACAAAGGATGGCAATGTCAACCTTGCCTAGGCGACACAGGCAACAGAAGGCTAGAAAACCCCAAAAGGTGGGCGAAAACATTAAAACAGCCCTGGATGGACAAAAAATATCCATGAAAAAAAAAAAACTTTTACAAGCCTCCCCAAGAGATATAATTTCAGGATTTATTTCATTTTCATCTGGTTTCACTGGGTTTATGAAAAAAAAACATCTGAGTTGTCAGTCCTATTATAATTTTGTAGTTTTGCTTATAAAACATTTAGAGAGTTATTCACAAAGCTAGCCGAAGGATCAGCCGTAGCTGATCTCGTCTGACCAAACTGGCTTTTTTGCAGGTAAATCCACTGCACTTTATATAAGGAGAGTTCACCTCCATTCAGGTTGCTTATGACCAGGTGAGCTCCAGAGTTTTGGTGTCTCTTGATGCCTTGAAAGCATCCCAAATGCACTGCCTGCATTAAACTCCTGTATTTTTTTCCTCAGAAGCAGGTATGTAATTATAGGCTCATGGATGGCTTTCCATTGTTGCGGGGCACTAGGCTGGGTTGTCCACTCACTCGCCTTCATTATGCACTAGCTATTGAGCTAGTGGAAGCCATCCTGCACCAGCACCCTTTAATCAGGTGCCTGCTGTTGGGAAATGTCAGTGAAGTAATAGCTTTATATTCTGATTAGGGATGCACTGATACCAGTTCAGATAGCAGTGCAGATACTTGGCATTTTCATGAGAACTACCAGGGTTGCAGCTGGGAACTGGCTCTGGCGCTCCACCATTGTCCTGAAATCATTAGTCGATATTGTTTTAGAAAAACTGTTACATGACAAGAAACAAAAATGTATCAGTACTTGTGTCTGTAAGTACTTGGGCAAGTATCAGTACATCCCTTTATTTATATTTATAAAAACAAAATCATACCTTAAAACAGAGATGTACAAATGCCAGGAGCTCCGTGTGCTGCTTACAAACGACAGCTGCCTCCTAACTTTTGAGTTTTTCTCTAGTATAGTCTTGGAGCTGTAAAAGTATCTGTACTTGTACCGAGTACTGTACTTGGTATTGGTGCATCCCTAATTCTGATGATATGTCGCTGTACTTGGCAGACCCAGGTCAGTCCCTTATTTTTGCACTTGCCCTCGCTGTGTGTGTTCTGACCTGTGAGTTAATTTGGAGTAGTCTAATATCCTACCTTTAGACCATATTGCTCCTACTCTGTTGCGCTTTGTAACATGTGTAGTGGCCATATGACTTCTTTTTAAATGTCCCCCTTAAGGTGGCCATACACTTTACACCTTAGTCTTGCGATGGTTGTAAAGTGATTAAAAAAAAACGTACCCATCTTAGACAGGCAGATCGTACTCTCGATCATCGCAAGCCCGCCCCCCTTAGGGGCGGGCTTATGACTGTAATGAGGGGCGGGCTTACGACTGCAAACGGGCAGTGTGCGCGTGCGCACACCGGCCCGTTCGGCAGTTGTCGAACCAAACAAATGATTGTAACAGTGCCAAACATGTTTTTAAAAGTTTTCTTGTTCAGTGTATTTGTCTAATGTATGTAAAATAGATTTATAACATAATTAAGACCACTTATCTTTAAACAAAAAGAAACAACTACGTTACAGCAACAAGGAAATGTTATTATTCTGATGCTTATCACATGCCTAAAAAGAAGACAAAAGAAATACCTTTAAAAAAGCCCATGCAATCTTATGGAATCCTTTCTCTTTTACATGAAAATCTGAATTTGTGATTTTACCATCCTCATTGGCCACATCAAGAATCTGGAAACAGAATTTATTGAATTTTAGAAGGGAGGTATGCATCAAAACATTCAGAAATGTGTTATTTAACGTGTGAAGCTGAATTCACAAAATATTAACAGCTTCCCTGTTTGGCCCACCTGAAGTGCACCTGCAATTTTGCAATTCGTAATATACTACAAAAGGTAAAATATTTTAATGTTTTTAGAGGGGAAAATCAAGTTCTGCCTCCCATGGATAAAATTATTCTCCACCTCCTGCACTGCTATTCACAATGCCAGAAAAGCCACACACAATATATTTAATCTCCATCTTTTTCATCAGAATACTATGGAAGCTGTATGGAGATTAAGAGGTGGAAGAGTTCAAAGTCCATTACAGCAATATTATGAAATGCTTAAAAGCAAGTCGCTTCGGTTTCGCCTCTGTCTACCCTGCCTAATCTTCTAGTGTTATATACTAAGTACTTCTAAACCCCGCCTTCTTTTGGTGCCAAGTCTCGTCCCTGTTACAACCTAAGCCTGGATTGTATGGGGCTCCTCAGAGATCACAGGAAATGATCTAAACCAGGGGTGCCCATTAGGTAGATCACGATCTACCAGTCGATCACAAAGCAAACACTGGTAGATCGCGATCGGCTCACTGGCCTGAGCTCCCTCCCATGGTGCTAATGCGGCTGAATGGGTCAGATGCTGCAGATGGGAAGGGGCGGGACACCCCTTCCCATCTGCAGCGTCTCACACATCCGGCCACACTAGCACCCGTGCCCCTCCCAGTCTGTAGCATCAGACACACTAGCACCACAGGGCAGGAGGACAGGACAGCGCCCGTGAGAGAAGAGACAGGAAGCTGCTGCAGTGCAGGAAGGGAAAGACAGCCAGGATAGAGAGAGAGGAGAAACAGTCAGAGGAGAGAGGAAGACACTGCTAGAAGACAGATAGAGAGATAGATAGAGAGAGAGAGAGAGAGAGAGAGAGAGCGAGGACAGAAAGCCAGAGGAGAGAGAGAAGAGACAGAGAAGAGACAGAGAGGGAGAGAGAGAGAGAGAGAGAGAGAGAGAGAGAGAGAGAGAGAGAGAGGGAAGAGAGAAAGAGAGAGAGATGGGAAAGAGAGAGAGGGGAAAGAGCGAGGAGAGAGGAGACAGCGAGAACAGACAGCAGAGAGAGAGCCAGCAGAGAGAGAGCCAGCAGAGAGAGAGCCAGCAGAGAGAGAGCCAGCAGAGAGAGAGATGGGAAAGAGCAAGGAGAGAGAGGCAGTAGTCCCAGTAATGATTTTAATGTGCTTGGTTTTTTTTTAAATAAAAGTATTTTTTCATTGGTAGATCCCATTGAGCTCATCATTTGAAAAGTAGATCTCAAGACAAAAAATTGTGGGCACCCCTGATCTAAACACTAACAAAGGTGAGTTTAGGCACCGCAAGGCATCTCAGCAGTATTTTTACCTAAGACTTTTTAAACCTAAACTCCAGTCTAACCATCAGTCTTGCACAGCTTTACAGGCCCTGTCCTTTACTAAAATTGCTTAAAGGAGAACTATGGGGTTAAGGCTTTTCCCCATAGTTCTCCTTAGGGTAACGGGAGGACACAAACTAGCGCCCTCCCGTCACCCTAGGCTCAGTATACCGCAAGCTGCAGCTCGCGGTATACTGAGATGCCGCAGTATAACGCGAGCTACTGCTTGCGGTATACTGAGACGCCGCAGCTGAAGCGGATCCCGACAATTGTGCCGGGATCCGCCCAGCTGCATGACCGATAGCTGGCTCTGCCTATCTAGAGGCAGAGCCAGCTGTAGCCGCCCCCTCCCCCGTCCGTTCCGCCAGTCAGCGCTGGAGGATCGGAGCGGGGAGGGGGGAATCCAGCCCCTCTCCTGTCACGGCAGAGAGCCGTGACAGGATCGAGGGGTGAGCAAACCCCGGCATGTGTTCGCTCACCTCCCAATCTACTGAGCCGACCTGCGACAGTCTCATTGTCACAGGTAGACTAGAACTATGAGGTGAGTGAAAAGCACTCACCTCATAGTTCTCCTTTAAATCTGTTTTCACTGCGCACTGTGAGCTTCCTCACTGTGTGCGCAAGAAGCTGTACCTTCAGATAGCACTCGTCTCATTTTCTGGCTGAAGGACATTCAGCATCATCTAGACTTCTGAAATTCAGTTATTTCACTCATGAAGGCTCAGCATCACATGTGGTTATTACTGAAGGCAGTCTGCATGCAAATGCCCATCAAGGCATTTTGATATTTGTATAACTCCACCCATGAGCCACTGCTTACATCAGGGCTGAGGGCTCTTAAGACGAGTACTGATGCAGGGTGCTGTGATGTTTTCAGAAAGGTATGTACAGTACCTAGCTGACCCCTCCCACCATAATCTACCTGCCTTGCACAAAGAGGCAGAGATGCAGTGATGACGTCAATGGGTCTAAAATAGGGTATGTAATGAAAACAGAAAGGTTTTATTTAAAAATAGCATAAGCAAGTTGAGGGGAAAGGGGGAACCAATGACGGAAAAATAAAAAACAGATTCAATTGTAACTTTAAGCCATGGCAGTTTTACTTTGATAATTGTAATTCTTTTAACATAAATGCACACAAGTGTAAGCAGCACCATAAACCTAACTCCCTTTTATGCATCTATTCTAAGCAATAGAAGCTGCCTGTCAAGTCCTATATATAATCCTGCTCCAAACAAACCTCTAGAAAGGCAAGAAATATTTATTAAAAAAGTATAATGTATTCGCCGACGTATAAGACATCTTTTTATAGTTAAAACATCCCATGAAAATCTGGGGTCGTCTTATACGCGGGTATACAATGTGAACCTTTAGTTCGTTTGGGCCAAGTTGGCCTAAAACGAACGTCCCTAGTCTGTCAGCCCGCCAATCACGGCGAGCAATGTACACAATCTCTGCCAATCCGAGCAGGCTTTGTATTCATTAATAGAATACATCGCTCGCCATGATTGGCTCAGCGCAGTATACTGTATGTAGCCGAAGCTACCGTACATACAGTATTTCTGCACATCCAGCGGGCTGACAGATTAGTGGGTGTATTTAAACAAAATGGCTGGTAGACAAGACCCCATCATGGCTCCAGCAAGAAGAAGGAAATATGAAGCCTCGGAAGGGGGGTAGTCTTATACGACGAGTATAGCCCAAAACCTATGTTTTAACTGGAAAATTAGGGGGTCGTCTTATACACCCAGTTGCCTTATACGCCGGCAAATACGGTAATTTCCATATGCTGTAAGAATGGCAACACATTTAAAAAAAACATTACAGGGTTATCTCAATTTTAGCTGCAAAAGCATGGTACTTTTCACAATGCCAACAAACTTTGCCTTGGAACACACCCTAAGACACAGTTGTACCCCAAACGTATGTATCACATATACCTTAGAGAACCTAAAACAACTCGTGCACTGAATAATAATGCGGAAAAGTGGCAATACCTCAAAGAAAATGATAACATTTGGACTGTCTTTGTTCAAGTGCAAAAAATAAGTAAACCGCTCGTTAAATATGATTTGCTCGTCCCATTCAGGTGCAGGCGTTTTTAGCCGCTTGAAGTCATACGGTTGTGTGAACGTAGGGAGAATATGTTCATTTCTTTCTTGGTCGTGCAATGAGGAAGCTGCTTCAGTACTGCAAAACAGAATGGAATTTTATTTAATGAGAACTTTAGTCTTAATTTACTGCAGGAAGCCTCATAGTCACAATGAATACAGGATACTTCAACTGAGTTGCAATTGTACTGAGAAATCAAGATTCCACGTATACCAACTGAGCTCCTGCACCGGGTAACTACATAAGGAACAGGACCTGAGCAACTTTTACATTCTAAATATGGTTCCACTGACTGGGTAATTACTTTTTCATTGTTTGGCACCACGTTTGGAATCATGTCTCACTGTATACAGTTTTAAAGTAATTTTTTATGAATCTGTTGCAAAGCCCAAAAGCCAACTGACAGAGTGAACACAAGAGCATAAAAGAGGAAGTGATTTTACTGACAAGATCTCCTGGAAAGAAACTTTGCAACAGATTTACAAAAAAAGTATTTGCTTACAGAAAAACTCCAGCCCCATCTGTTTTTTTTCCGCTTCCTTGCTTTTGAAGCTTGTGGAAAACTGCGCTTTAGTTTTCCGCCCTTTTCCTCCCCACAGTGTGTCTCTGAATGTTGGGCATTGCAGCAGGCACATTTCCTGCCTGTTTTATGCCCAGCCTCCCACAAGGCCCACTAACCGTCATAGAAATGCCCCCAGGGCTACAGCAGATGTGAATTAATGCTATTGTGTCTTATGTGGTGTACAAAGCTTTCATAGAAACTGGATGCAAAAGGGTTAGCTGCAGAGCCTGCCCTTTCCCTGTACTCTACTGAATCCTGGGACTTGGAAATTCCTCTGCAGTAAGGCTGGGTTCACACCTGGGTGTTTTTCAGCGCTGACCGAAGCGCTGAAAAACGCTCAAACAGTGAAATCCCATACTTCCCTATGGGCATGGTTCTCACCTGGGTGTATTTCAGCCCGTGGAAACGCGCTGAAAAACGCCCTACGCCGAAACAAGTACAGGAGCTTCTTTGGGGCGTTTTTCCACACGTTTCCATTGGTATTCCCGAGTCTGGCTCGGGGTTAACAAAGCGGTAATCCCGAGCCACACTCGGGAATACAGCGTAGGACTTACCTTGTCCGCAATCCCCGATGTGTCCTCCGGCGGCTGCCGACTTCCGTCCCTTGCGAGCGGCCGCATCGCAGGGTGGCGGAACCGGCGGGAAGTTTGAAAGAAGAAAGAAGAAAGAAGAAAGAAGAAAGAAGAAAGAAGAAGAAGAAAAAAGGAAAAACATTTTTTTTAAAAATCATACCGCCAGTGAAATGCGCGTTTCACTGAACGGAAAAACGTGCTAAAAAAAACACAGAAAAAAATGCGCCTATGCTACGCCCAGGTGTGAACCCATCCTAATCAGGTATGTTGCTCAAGAGTAGTGTCTCTAGAGTGTGATCTGGACTGCAAACACAAGCATTAGCATTTTGTTTCATCTGGGAGGACAGAGGGTTATCTAAGCTCCCTACTATCTCTGCACAGTAAAGTGCTGTAGTCATAAACTCCTCTGCAGCCGACAGCCTTTTGTTGTGGCTCTCCATGTTTGAATGCAGTGTATTTTTTCAGGCAGTCCCCGGGTTACATACAAGATAGGGACTTTAGGTTTGTACTTAATTTGAATTTGTATGTAAGTCGGAACAGGTAAATTTTTTAAATGTAACTCCAGCCAAAAAAAACATTTGTTAGTTTTGGATAGCATAGGGAAGGGTCACGTTTGTTTTGCTGTCTGTTCCTGTTGTTCAGAAGATTATAATATAATAAAAACATTTTTTTATTTAAAATGACACACCAAAAAAAGTTTTGTTCTATTTTTAATTTTATAGACTTTATTTTTTTTGTTTGCATTTTTTATTTTTATTTATCTTTTTTTTTTTTAAATTCTCCTTTTTAATCTTATTTTTTAAAACTTTTTATTTTATTTTAATGCTGGGAGCAATAGCCAGCCTGCTATTGGATATTTCAAATTGCAATAGCCAATAGCAGGCTGGCTATTGCATCTGCCCACTGCCTGCTGTCAATCAGCAGAGGAGGGGCCTGAAGGAGAAAGTTCTCCATCAGGTCCTCCCATGCTGATTGACAGCAGGCAGTGTGTGGGTGCAATAGCCAGCTTGCTATTGGCTATTGCATTTTACAATATCAATAAAATAATAAAATAGTAATTTTTTTCCAAAAGAAAACATAAACCTTTTATTATTATCATTATTATTATTAATAATAAAAGCTGACACCCTTGGCTTGTGTTATATGGTTTGCCATTTTAGCCGTTTCAGCAGTGGTTCTCAATCTGTAGGTCGCTGTGTGATTTCTGCTATGCTAGGTGAGAGTCATCCCTAAAATGTTACCGTTAGGGGGGGTCACCACGACTTGGCAAATGTTACCAAGGGGTCCCGGCCCTAGAAAGGTTAAGAACCACTGTTCTGAAGGGATACAGACACTGCAAATTTCCTCAAGAGAACACTGAAATTGCATCAGGTGCTTATATTGAACCCAGACCCTTCTATTCAGAAATCAGTTTGGAAAAGACATGGTGAAAGCAATAGCTTTCGAAAGAGTAAACAAAAATTAGGAATCTGCAACAAAGTTTGTTCAAATCCTTGCAATGTACATTGATCACCCAGAGAGGATTTTTTATATTCTACAAAACTGGAGTTATATTTTAAGAAAACGATATACAGTAAAAAATTATGACAAATAGATTTTTGGTTTGCTTACACTTTACCAGATTTCAAAACTCAATAAGTTAGATAGACAGATCAGTCTTATGATTATAGTACAACAAATCACATAGGTTTTAAAAAATTAATACCGTGATGCTTCAATAATCCAAGACTTTTACATGTTTACCTATAATTATTCCATGCATATTTTTTGTTCATGAAAATAAAAATATTATAAATTGTGGCTTTAAATCAAGAATTATTTGCTGCTCAATATATACCGGGCGGCCGCCTGTTTTAAACTGATGCATTGTCTGGGTAGTCCAACAGTAGATTTAAAATATTAAAGAAGGTGCTAGTAAATGTCTCAAGAGGGCTTGACTACTTTCACTTCACCGATCAAGGAAGAAGTACACTTTGATGGCTTTAAGGTATGGCAGTCTTTTAGGAACCATTTTTGTCATTTTTGGTAAACTATGTAAAATATCACAGAAGAGGTTGAACGCGAATAAGTTGATGTGACTCTATTAAAACAGGATATCAAATTACTATATCACAAGACAAATATATTTATTGAATAAACTGGTTTAGATGATCATAAACAAATGTTGAGGAGCTCCATCTTGTCTTAATAACATGCTTAATGAGCAATGATCAATACCAAAATTCTTAGGATAGGAAACTTGACAGAAGACCTAGCAATATTACAGGAAAACCTGGACAAAATAGGGGGGTGGGCATCTACATGGCAGATGAGATTTAATATTGAAAAGTAGGGATGCACCGAAACCGATACTACTATCGATATCGGTGCCGATTCCCAGTATTTGGGCGAGTACTCGTCCAAATGCTCCGATGCCTAGCACGAGTACTTCCGGTATCAGAAAGCCGGGCACTGTAATGACACGCTGCCCAGCTTCTTGATTGGTCGGGAAGCTAGCTTCATGCTCCCTCGTCCTCGTGAGGTAAGGTTACCTTACCTTAGTATGTCCAGTCTGTCATCCCCGGGGCCTCTCCAGCGCGGCCTTCCTCTGGTACCCTGCCAGAGCCGGCCGGCCAATCAGGAAGCCGGGCGCCATGTAATGACGCGACATGGGGATGACAGGCTGGACATACCAAGGTAAGAGGGGACTTTCTTGTTAATCGGGAAGTCAGGTGGCGTGTCTTTACACACTGCCCGGCTTCCCGGCTAATTAGCAGTGTGCTAATCATTACATGCCACCTGGCTTCCTGAATGGGACTTCCGCTACTTGGTAATTGGTATCGGCGAGTACCGGAAAAAAATTATCGGTACTCGTACTCTGTACCAAAATACCGGTATCAGTGCATCCCTATTGAGAAGTGTATGGTTATGCATTTTGGAGTTAAAAACACGAAAGTGAGCTACTCACTCATGGGGGTTCTACTGGGCAAATCAGGAGGTGGAAAAAGATTTGGGAGTCCTAGTGGATTGTCGCCTTAGTAACAGCATGCAATGCCAGGCGGCAGCAAATAAGGCAAGCAGGGTTCTATCATGTATTTAAAAAAAAAAGGAATGTACTGTAAAAGACAAATACATAATTCTGCCCCTGAAAAAAACTGGTTCTGCCACATCTTGAGTATGCTGTTCAGTTTTAGCCATCGATCCACAGAAAGGATGTCTTTGAGCTGGAGAGAGTCACAGACAAGGGCTAATAAAAAGGAGGACCTAAACTGTGAGGAAAGACTGCATGCATTAAACTTGTTCACGCTAGAGAAGAGGAGACTGAGGGGACATGGTATTAATGTACAAATTGTTTAATGGTGATGGGATAATCCGTAATAAACAGTTTACTGTTAGTTCAGTCAAGAATACAAGAGGCCACCATCTGAAACTGACAGGGAAAAGATGTAATCATAAACAGCGTAGGGGATTCTTTACTGTGAGAGCTATAAAATTGTGCAACTCCTTTCCACAGACAGTGGTATCGGCTGAGAGTATGGAATAATTCAAGAAATATGTAGATACTTTTCTCAGCACACAAGATATACAGGGGTACAAGTAATCTTAGTAACAAACACACACAGACACACACATGCACACGAAACCCAAAAGGATGAACTCAATGGACCTGTGTCTTTATTCAACCGTAATAACTATGTCAATTTTTATAAGGCATGGTTTCTGTTTTCTCATTCTGACTGAGATTAACAAAATTCAGAGCGGGGTAACTTTAAATGCCAAAATTTTAGTAGGATGTACTAAACCTAACTAATATGTAAAATACATTCAACTGGTTACTTTGTGATTAAAAACACTTAGCTGGTTACACATACGTTAGTGTGTGATGAGTATATATTAACCAAATCAAAAGAACAGTATGTATGTAGATGTGAGTAAGTCCCATTATGAACATTCCAAGACGTAAAAATAAAATTACCTGTAATCTTTCTTGACATGTTCACCTGTTTTTTGGTCAATTAGGTAAATCTTAACCATGGGCCGAGATGTGACAAGGTCAGTATTCAATTTATCAGCCCGATGGACATAAACTCCTAAAACGAGGCTCTCATCATACACGCGTTTAGTGCTGCTTTTTTCTTCATCAATGTCTTCACTGTTCTCTGTCACTTCATCAGTAAAAAAAAAAAAAAAGCCATTTAATGAGGGGTCACAAGGTTCAAACATTAAAGTGTATTTCCATTTTTCAGCTAAATTATGATGACGACACCTATTTTGTTTGTTACAAGTTACCATTCACATACCACAATGTAAAACATATTTAGAAATTGTTACTTGCTCTTTTTTCTGAAAACTCCAAAACTGTTTTTTCCAGTCTCTGCAATTTCAAGGAGGGCACTTGAGTTGGGTGGGGAGTTAATGTTTATAAACATTTTCCATGTCTGTATTGTGCTGGCATATCTCACTATCAATTGTAAACTAGATGTGAACAATGTCATAATGAGAGGAATCTCAGTCTGTTGCCCTTTGTCTTACTCACTCACAAATTATTTGGCCTGCAGTCTGACCAACAGTAAGGCCTCGTTCACACCTGAACGTTTTGTAGCGCGTTCTACGCTCGACGAACGCTCTACAAAACGCTCAAACATCTAAATCCCATTGTATTCAATGGGTCTGGTTCACACCTTGGCGTATTTCCGCCCGTCCCTAACGCGCTACAAAACGGCCCACGCCTGAAAAGGTACATGTACTACTTTGGGCAGTTTTTGTTGAGCGTTTCCATTGGGATACAGCCAAGTAGCACTCGTAAACGCCCGTTGGTCGCGCGATTTTTTTTTACCGTGAATCGCGGTAAAAAACAGCGCATATGCAATACGCCTAGGTGTGAACCAGGCCTAAGAAATTATTTTGGGTCATTGTAGACAGATTTACCAGAATCAGTATGCTGTTTGAATAGGAACACATAACAATTTCTCAAATTTGACTGCAAACATGGAAATACACTTTAAAAAAAATCTAAAGGGATCAAATTAAATTACAAAGGATATTTAGTTCTAAGACAAGGGGATTGGTCTGGAACTATCAAAGGGAATCAGAAATAGCACTGTGAAGCTTTCTTTTACCCAAAAATAAACTACCAGTCAGTGTAATTAGCAATTGACACACATTAAAATGCCTAGTATAAATATGTTTATATAGCATCAATATTCTGTTTCTTTAAGGACCAAGCAGAAAACACGCACATTAAATAATTTATACTGGTCTCAGTCATTATATTCTATGGGTGTCTGGATTCCAATGCTTGCTGACATTCATGGTTCCCTATCCCATGTTATAGAACATAAGCTTAGTTAAAGTATATCTAAAGCAAAAACGTTTTATTTTAATTCTGAATAGCGTAAGCGAGAGTTGAAACCACTGTAATTTTTTTTGTTGCCGTCTGTGTCCCATTAGGGAGATTAACCCTTCACTTTCTCAATCAGAAAGTGAGAGAATATCTTTACAGTGTAAGGGAAATCCCCTCTTAGGCAGTTGTCATTGGAAAAATTTGCCTCTGTTCTACAACTTCATGTACGCACGTTAAAAATGTGTGCAATGCGCATAAACGCGCAAGTAACCGCATGCTGCAAGCGCGCTTAAAAAAAAGGCAAAAACTGTGCCGCCTAGGTGTAAATAAGGCCTTAGTGAATAACCCTGTTAGTGTTGAGCCTATTAAAATAAAAGTTTACCCAAAGTGTCAACTGCCTGCCAAACATAACCACATTTTGCTTTACAAAAGGGAGGGAGACAGTACAGTTACAATACAATATAAATTCAGGAGGTAGGAGGGCCCTGCTCATGTGAGCTTACAATATAGTCGGAAGGGTAGGTGATACAAAAAGGTAATAATTGTGTGGGATGAGCTGATGGAAGTAAGATTAAGGGGGGATATGATTTTCATGTACAAGATGTTCAATGGTGACAGCAACATTGGCAACAAACTCTAAGTTTAACTCCATTACAAAGACTAGAGGCCACTACCTAAAATTGGTGGAGAACAAAATTCCGAAACAAGGGGCAAAGGGGGTTCTTTACAGTAAGAGCGGTTAGGGTCTGGAACTCACTCCCACCGGCAGTGATTTCAGCTAAGAGTGTGGAATTTTTCAAGAAACTTTTGGACGATTTCCTGAGGGACCGTAATATTCAGGGATACAAGTATTCCTAAAGTGGACCTATATGGGTTGGACTTGATGGACTTATGTCTTTATTCAACCCCAAATACTATGTAAATACTATGCAACTATGCAAGTAAACGGACAGTTTTTATGTCACGGGGATAGGCTTCCCTGAAGATATGAGTTTTCAAGGATCCCATAACGGTGGACAGAGTAGGAGGTAAGTGGACTCTGCAGAAGTCCTGGAGGCGAGCATGGGGAGGATAACTAACACGTATACAGGACTAACGGATATATTATTAAATGCTGACCTGTGTGGGATTTTTTCTTGGCTTTCTTGCCTTTACGTTTAGGAAGATCTTCTGTTTTTTCAATGTTTTCAGAAAATGAATGAATTGGAGAATGATCGACAACTTCTGCCGGTGTGTGTTGCAGTTCAGACAAAGACATAACGCTAAGTAAAAGCACAAAACACAGCTATGATTACTCTGTAAATAAGACTAAACAGCCAACATCATGGAGTCAAAACTATGAAATCTAATGACAATCTAATAGTAATATACCATACCATATTTAACATCACATTAGGATTCATTTATACCTCTGTATATCACCTGGCTTTAGTGGCTTACAGTATATCGATGTATGCCTTTAAAAAGGCAAATAAGATAACTGTCATTCAAGAATAGGTCAGTCAACATTAGATTATTCTAGATCCCTAGCATGCTTAACCTGATGTAGCCTGCCCTCACTGCATTCAAGCTGAACTTCCATTTAAAAATATGTTCCTGAGCAGCCACAACGGATATAAATCTACCTTGTGCGCACCACAATAATTTGCAAATCCATTTATTACCATATAGAAGTAGCCGTCACTGACACCAATGCTGTAGGCTATTATTGCGGTAATTGACACCAATACTTGGGATTTTTATTGCAAGCCTAACATCAATGATGTCTAACTGCCTAACTCAATGCAATGTACCCCCATGCACGAAAACACCTCGCTATTGTGCGGCCCTCTGGAAGCTTCAGGCACCACACTTGTGGCTCTCTATTATTTCAAAGTTTACCACCACTACACTGCAACCGTCATCAGCTAAAGAATCTAATTCAGAGTCTGTCTTTCTGATCCCTATTTAAAGCCTTAGGTCTGCAAATAAATGATGTGTACATTTTAACCCTCCTCTATGTTAGTCAGATTAAAACAAATGAATAAAGGAGAATTAAATACAAGCACACAGAAAGCACTACTCACATCAGATGTGTACGAGTGTGTTTGTAACACATACAGTACCCAAAGGGTCTGTTTATAATGGATAGTGGATCTAACTATCCACTGAACACCACAGTGCGTATGCCACACTGCGCTCGCATTTCACCATGCTGCAGTGTGGAGCCTGTGGTGTGTTACGAAGCATAACACTGCAGAGAACACTTATTGATTTGTGAAGAGACCACTAGCTATTGCAATGAATGGGGCTTCACTTGCTTTGAAGACCAATGCAGAATGCTGTCAACATCAGTTTGAGATGCTTTTGGGATCATTCAGAATTCATTGCAGGTGCAGTTGACCTGCATGTTGTTAGCTGCTTCTGATCTGCATTGAACCTGCTTTAGCATCTTTTGCATTTCCATAGAGTTATAACGGGCAGAAGCAGTTATGAAGTGAACAAAAGCCTGCCATCACTGGCCCTTAAGCACATCACTTTATACCTTGTTTCTGGTTCAGTTTCCACCAAGTCTTTTTTCTTCTTCCTTTTCTTCTTCTCAGCTTGATTGCCTAATACAGCATTTGGATTTTCATCACTGCTAAAATGTTCTGAGAGGTGCGCCTGTAGTTTCTTTTTTATCTTCTCCTTGATTTCATTGGTCTCCTCCTGTGATACCTGAAGTCGGTATGCTTCAATTAGCTGGTCTTCATCATTAAAATCGGTTGGGTAGCTTTCTTCTCTTAAGACGCTTTTCTCCTTCCTCTTACCATGTTTTAACCGATTCTCCTCAAGTCCTAAAATATGACTAGTCCCCTCTGAGTTTTTAGGTTGGGATTCATTTTGGTCAGTGGTCTCACCCACATCTGTTTTATTTTTCTTCTTTTTTTCACTCTTTGCTTTCCTGTGCTCTTTGCTGCTTGCATCGCTTTCTTTTTCAGCAGCTGCTATCTGCTCCCTGAATATATTCTTTCTAAAAGGTGTTTCCTGTGTGTTGCTTGTATGAACAGCTACTACTTCACTTGAAGTATCTTTGTAAGATTGATTGTTGAAAGTTTCAAGCTAATAAAAAAGAGTATTAATATTATGTTAGATAAATATAAACATTTGTTAGCAAAAAGTGTAGTACTTACATTACATGAAATGTGAACAAGATCCCTTTAACAAAATATGGAAAAAAATATTTGACACATTAAGTTACCTGTATTACACCTTAAAAACACTATGTAAGATTTTGATTCTATTTTTTACTATGCAGTAATCTGTTCTACACATATCTCAAATTAATTTTACTGTAAAATTTTCACTTGTTAAAAATGTAGGAATTAGGTCAGCAATTATTTTAAGAAACTGACACACAAACAGAAACCGTATACGCAACTCATTGACAGACTCCCCCACAAAGTCCCACAACAAAAAAATGTAACCTTAAATCTCTGTCCTGGGGAAACCAAATAAAAGATCTAAATACTGAATAGCATATCTATTTATGTATGGATCCTAAAACTGACTTGAAGACCCACTTTTGTCTTGTGTCCCATAGGCCAAATATTTGTGTTGTATCCTCATCTACATTATGCTCTTTCTCTGGATAAGCATGAATAGATGGAATTGTGTCCCATTACATTGGCGGTCAGTGAGAGAAGGCCCCCCTTACACCTCTGTTAGTGGCAAGAAGATTGACCTTTACAGTGGTCACTGCCAAGAATAACCCCCTCCACCGGTGGCCAGGGGCAACAATAGGCCCCTCCACCGGTGGCCAGGGGCAACAATAGGCCCCTCCACCGGTGGCCAGGGGCAACAATAGGCCCCTCCACCGGTGGCCAGGGGCAACAATAGCACCCTACAGCGGTGGCCAGGGGCAACAATAGCCCCCTAACCTGGTGCCTAGTGGGAAGAACAACCCCTTACAGTGATGGTCAGTGGAACTGTCTGTACACATATAATGCAACTCCTTGCTTCCTTCATCTAAGTCATACCGCGCCCCACCGCTATGACCATGACATGCCGCTGACTCAATTCATATTTTGATTTTTTTTCTATCTCTGTGTAAAAACATTTACTGCTTGTAAGGTCTTTATTGCTTGAACAGTCCAGGAGATGCAGAAAGATTAGAAAAATGCTGCTGACAACATTTCATTGTTGAGTTTGTTGGGAAAGCACACTTGTATACTGAGGATTTAGGATCCCAGCAGATGAAAGACAAATTACTATGATATATTTGCACATTTTCTACAGCAGTCATGCAAATAAATATTTTTTGCTAAATCTGAAGTTCTTTTTTTGAAGGTGCATCTGAATGTTAGATAACCTATAGCTGTGTGAAAAAGTGTTGGCCCCCTTCCTGATTTTGCACGTTTGTCACACTTTAAAAAGGAGAACTATGACATGAGTGATTTCCACTCGCCTCATAGTTCTAAGCCGACCTGTGACAATGAGACTGTCACAGGTCGGCTCAGTAGATCGGGAGGTGAGAGAACACATACCGGGTTCCCTCACCTCTCGATCCTGTCAACTCGCGGTATACTGAGCTTAGGGTAACGGGAGGACGCTAGTTTGTGTCCTCCCGTTACCCCAAGGAGAACTATGGGGAAAAACACTGACCCCATAGTTCTCCTTTAATGTTTCAGATCATCAAACAAATTGAAATATTAGTCAAAGATAAACACAAGTAAACACAACATGCAGTTTTTAAAGGAAGGTTTTTATTATTAAGGGAAAGCAAAATCTAAACCCACATGGCCCTGTGTGAAAAAGTGTTTGCCCCCTAAACCTAATAACTGGTTGGGCCACCCTTAGCAGCAAGAACTGCAATCAAGCGTTGCGATAACTTGCAAAGATTCTGTTACAGCGCTGTGCAGGAATTTTGGTCCACTCATCCTTGCAGAATTGTTGCAATTCAGCCACATTAGAAGGTTTTCGAGCATGAACCACCTTTTTAAGGTCATGCCACAGCATCTCAATAGGATTCAGGTCAGGACTTTGACTAGGCCACTCCAAAGTCTTCATTTTGTTTTTCTTCAGCCATTCAGAGGTGGACTTGCTGGTGTGTTTTGGATCATTGTCCTGCTGCAGAACCCAAGTTTGCTTCAGCTTGAGGTAACGAACAGATGCCCACACATTATCCTTCAGGATTTTTTGGTAGACAGCAGAATTCATGGTTCCATTTATCACAGTAAGTCTTCCAGGTCCTGAAGCAGCAAAAGAGCCCCAGACCATCACACTACCACCACCATATTTTACTGTTGGTATGATGTTCTTTTTCTGAAATGCGATGTTACTCTTACGCCAGATGTAATGGGACACACACCTTCCAAAAAATTCAACTTTTGTCTCGTCAGTCCACAGAGTATTTTCCCAAAAGTCTTGGGGATCATCAAGATGTTTTCTGGCATAACGGAGACAAGCTTTTATGTTTTTTGCTCAGCAGCGGTTTTCCTCTTGGAACTCTGCCATGCAGGCCATTTTTGACCAGTCTCTTTCTTATGGTGGAGTCATGAACACTGACCTGAACTGAGGCAAGTGAGGCCAGCAGTTCTTTGGATGTTGTTGTGGGGTTTTTTGTGACCGCTTGGATGAGTCGTCGCTGCGCTCTTGGGGTAATTTTGGTTGGCCGCCCACTCCTGGGAAGGTTCACCACTGTTCCATGTTTTCGCCATTTGTGGATAATAACTCTCACTGTGGCTCGCTGGAGTCCCAAAGCTTTAGAAATGGCTTTATAACCTTTTCCAGACTGATAGATCTCAATTACTTTCTTTCTCATTTGTTCCTGGATTTCTTTGGATCTCGGCATGATGTGTAGCTTTTGAGGATCTTTTGGTCTAATTCACTTTGTCAGTCAAGTCTTATTTAAGTGATTTCTTGATTGCGAACAGGTGTGGCAGTAATCGGGCCTGGGTGTTGCTAGAGAAATTGAACTCAGGTGTGATAAACCAGGGTTAAGTTATGTTTTCACAGAGGGGGCAAACACTTTTTCACACAGGGCCATGTGGGTTTGGATTTTGTTTTCCCTTAAAAACCTTCCTTTAAAAACTGCATGATGTGTTTACTTGTGTTATCTTTGACTAATATTTAAATTTGTTTGATGATCTGAAACATTAAAAGTGTGACAAACGTGCAAAACAATGAAAAATCAGAAAGGGGGCCAACACTTTTTCACACAACTGTATATGATTTTCCATAGTTAACTCTGGGGTATCTGCATCTTAGGTGGGCGACGTTAAAACAGAATGGAAAAATTAGTATGTTAATAATGTTCATAACCCATTCATGTGACTTGGAAGGACTGAGATACTTACTACTACATTCTCTTCAGGTTGCTTCTTCTTCCTGAACTTCTTATTTTCTGATAGAGCAGAGTAGCTTTGGAAGACCTCCTCAAAACGTGACTTTGTTCTTGCTTTAGCCTCACTCTCTACTGCAACAAAGAACACACAGCAGAATCTTCAAAAATTAACTTTTGAACTGTTTGTCTGTTAACATTTTAGGATAGCAGCCAACTATACACATATGTGATAACTGATATATGCGTTTTACTTGCCAAAGGCTTCATAATTTATAATTTTCTTCCACCAGTCATCCTGTGTCATTTCTTTCTAACACAATAAATCTACATGAATACCTTTGTCCACTGTGCAGTCACGTGACCCAGGAAACAAAAGCTAAACCAGAAAAAGCAGGAGTGATTTTCCTAGCTATGCTCTGTAACAGAGGAATGGACAGGGGAGGGGGGGAATGCCGGCAGAGATATCCCTCTAGATAGGCAGAGCCAGCTGTCAATCACGCAGCTGGGTGGATCTCAACAGTAATGTCGGGATCCGTCCCAGCTGCCGTGGTCTCAGTATACCGCGAGCTGTAGCTCGCGATATACTGAGCTTTGGGTCACGGGAGAACGCTAGTTTATGTCTTCCCGTGACCCTTAGGAGAACTACAGGGAAAAACAATTAGCCGATAGTTCTTTAATAATAGTAAACGAAAAGTCTGCTAAGAGAGGGGGGTGTGGGTTCAGTGCTGGGTGTACCTCCCCCCAAAGGAATACCCATATTTTAGGTTTAACACTGGGGTGGAGCTACAACCGCAATTAACAAATAAAGACGTGCTTTTATCCTGCAATAGGACTTCTGATCCAAACGGGACCAAGCGCTATTTGCACTTTGCCCCCTGGCAGATAAAATAAAATGTTAATATTTCTTTGAGAATTCTTAAAATACTGGTATTCACTTAGAGTTAGGATACAGTGTGTGAGTTCAGGCAATAACAGGACAGCAACTGTCAGATGCAGGTGACTCCACTACCAGGCAGGCTCAGACTAAGTAAAGCCTAATAATAATACAGCAACCATATAGTTTTGGTAAGACTACACAATTATAATAAATTATAACTGGATGTTCAAATTCTTGCTTAAGTCCAGCCATCTCCTTAAAGTGTATGTCTAGGCAAAACTTTTTCTATAGTTTTGGATAGAGTTGGGGAGGGTATAAATCCCTAGCAGGTTTTTACCGCTATTCAGGGCTCTGTTAGAAAGATTCCCTCACTTTCTATCCTGCTGACACCATTTTAGCAGAGAGGAAGCAAGACTCTCCAACAGAGAGAGAAATAAAATGCCCTCTTTTAGTAAAGGAAGGCTAGAACCTTGGTCAGATTTTATTTTTTGTGTCCTTGTTGCAGATTTTCCCTCACTTCCTGTCTGGTTAAACCATCGTCAGCAGCACAAAAAATGTGGGTAATAGAGCCCCAGATAGTGTTAAAAAAAAAACATAAGGTTTTTGCTTACCATACACTTTAGTTATAGGACTATTCCACATTCCATACTAAGATTCAGGAGGCAACTAAAGAAATATTTCTATTGACAAAAGGAAGACCCTTACAAAAGGTTACACGCACATTGTAAACTTTGTTAACCATATTGGGTTTCTGGCTATTTTCACAAGAAAATTGTAAAAATGTATAACTACATGTAAAATTGTTGAGTTATGGATAATACGCTGAAGAAAGAAACAAACAAGCAAAGTCAAAATGAATCTGGAGAAGTACTTTACAGAGGAAGAAAACTAAAACCGTATTAAGTCTTACTTGCAGGCATTTTCAATCCAAGATCTAAATTAAGGTTCAGCAAGTCATTTTTATTTAGACATTATCCAACCATCTGTGAAAGAAAAAAAAAATCTTTAGCAATGAGGTAAAGCACAACCTGTAGATACAGCTGCTCCTTTGTGGAAAGAATCATTAACTCAGCTAGTACACATTTCTGCCTATCTTATTATACCCCACCAGCCCAACCTAACAGTTTATCAGAAGTTAAAGGAGAACTATGAGGTGAGTGCTTTTCACTCACCTCATAGTTCTAGCCGACCTGTGACAATGAAACTGTCACAGGTCGGCTCAGTAGATCGGGAGGTGAGCGAACACATACTGGCGTTCGCTCCCCTCTCGATTCTGTCACGGCTCTCTGCCGTGACAGGGGAGGGGCTGGATTCCCCCCTGGCGGAGCGGACTGGGGAGGGGGCGGGTACAGCTGGCTCTGCCTCTAGATAGGCAGAGCCAGCTGTCATTCACGCAGCTGGGCGGATCCAGATATAATTGTAGTTCCAGACGGGATTTGTAGTTCCACCACAGCTGGAGGACCAGTGTTTGGCTACCCCTGTTCTAAAGGAAAACATGAGTTGATTACCTGATAACTCTGTTTCCAGGAATCTTCCAGGACAGCCATCGAGATATAGGCTCCGCCTGCCTGCAACAGGAAACACATCAACCACATTAAATAAATAGACTCCTCCTTCCAATCCACTAGGGGACTCACTGGGGTCTGGAGCGCCGACCTGAAAGACTGAAATGTATTAACCATTTCCTCCCTCATTGAGTCCAAAAGCCCTTTAAACCTTCTGGCTGACTCTTTTGCCACTATTTTCTCTAAACACACTTTGCACAAGGGTTTGGACCATGAAGCTGACATTTTTGCAAAGCAAGAGGCACACTTCTTCCCTTTTGGGCGAATCGGGTGGGGGTCCGATAGGGAATCCCTGTATGCACTGCAGCAGGTAACCCTGGAGTCGGTCCCAATGCATAGCAGGGTAAGGCTCAGCCCTAAGGCAACAAACATGAGCCCTTAAAATAACAAACATTACGATGTCCCTGTGTAGCCGACGGAAACACAAAAAAACTGACTTGGGATGGAAGAAGGAGTCTATTTATTTAATGTGGTTGATGTGTTTCCTGTTGCAGGCAGGCGGAGCCTATATCTCGATGGCTGTCCTGGAAGATGACTGGGGAAATTGTGAATAAACAGATAAGTCTATTCTGCAATTTAAAAAACAAAAAACCCTGCCCGCTCACATTTTTTTTTCTTTTTCAGTTTAGTTCTGCTTTAAAATCAGCAAGGTGGAGCTACTTAAAAAGCAACTTTCAGCCACTAGGACTACTTGGAGATTATTTTATTTTTTTGCTACAATGTTTTCAGCATGGTTTTGAATTCATAGACAGGAGTTGCCGTCGGCTAAGAAAAGCTAAGTAGCTCAAAGTCCTCAAGATACCTTAGAGCAACTCCCAAGCTGCCTTAGAATAGCTGATCTGATCCCTTGGACTGAGAAAAAGTAGAAATGCCCTTTACAAAGCAACCAGTATTCCTGGTAAAGCAAAAGGGTGTCAGACTTGGAGCTGCTTGGCTTTCTTTCCAGCAGAATCTCCAGTCTCAAACATATTCTTAAAGTGACACCAAACTAAGGAGTCAAATCTTAAAAATTAATTCAAGTACCTTAACTAGTAGCAAAAATGTATCTTATTTGTGTATCACTCAGCTGTAGATCCTCTGAATTCATGCCGACACTGTCCTTCCTTCTGGAGGGTGGCTAATTTGTTCCCCAAGGTCCATGTGCATGTTGCAAAGTAGTCACCGCTCCAAGCTCACTCCCTTGATGGACTACAATTTCAGAGTCCATCACAGGAGCGAGTTTGGAGCGATATCTACTTTACAACACACACAGGGACAATGGGGACCAGAAGCAGCCACCCTCCAGAAAGAAGGACAGTGTCAGCACCAATTCAGAGATGATTTCAGGATCTACAACTGCAAAACACAAATAAAATACATCTTTGTTCAGAGTTAAGGTTCTTCTTGAATGCAATTTTATTTAAGATTTAACAGCTGAGTTTAGTGTCACTTTAAAGCAGAACTGAAGCAAAAACATTTTGTTTTTAGATTTGGATAGAGCAAAGGAGGGTTTAAAACCCTGTCAGTTTTTTTCACTTGTGACCCATTGGAGAGATTTCTCTTCACTTCCAGTCCAGTAGCCACAACAGGAAGTGAGAGGTAATCACTCCAAAGAGAGGAAACTTCCCGGTGGCCAGCAAAGTCACCAGAACTAGTGTCCTGACTGAAAGATTTTCCATCTATTCCTGTCCTGGTGACAACCTGAAATTTGGGATTTTCTTTCACTTTCATTGCTAATTGTCACCAAGACAAACAGAGGGTGAATCTCCCTAACAGAGACACAGACAGCAATAAAAACCTGACAGGTATTTTACACCCTCTCTAGTCAAAACTAACAGTTTTGGGTTTAGTTGCACTAAAAACGATCAGAAAATATGTGTGGAACAAAGTGAGTAATGAAACAACTCTAATCAACAAAGATAACCTTCCTCAACTAAAGGTAATACTTTTGATGTCGATCAACTTTGTGACTTTTCTTATCTATATTTTTCCGTTATGCCAACACAGGCCTTTGGGCCAGCTTCATAGGTATCGCAATGCAACACACAGTAATGCTCAACTTGCGGTGCAGTGTGCTGGCACCCTAATGTACCTTGCAAACGCACCCTACAGAAAGTTTGTTGCAATGGACCAATAAGCATAGATCTGGGAACCAGCTGTGAGATGTGTTATGAAGAATAGAAAAAAAGCTACGTGCTTATTTTTTGTTTGCTGTCCTGCACAGGAAGCCTGTTCAAAATGAATGCAATGTGAGTTAACATGCAATATGAAGGGGATCCTAACATACCCATTGTAGCCAACAGAAAATTATGCATATAGCTGCTAGTTTTCTTCAAGTGATAACCGATACATCTAAAGACTGAACAGTTGTTAATAAAAAATAACATTAAAAAAAAAAGTAATCAATTACATTTACAAAGCTGATTATTACAAATGCCTTTCTTCACAACATCAAATTCCTAGAAACATCGTGAAAAAAATAAATAAAAAAGAATTACTCTTTTACTTGCTACTGGTATCTAATAAAGTGGTAATGATTCAGAGAAATGTAAAACATCAAGAACCAGATTCAGGCTACAAACGAATATGCAAACAATGCAATTGAGAGTTAAATATTAACAAGGCTGCTGATTTGCTGCATATAAAATAACAGATGTACATCAGATAAAGCGACTCTAGCAGAACATACCAACATTAAAGTGATATTAAAGTCAAAAGGTTTTAAACTACTTCAAATGCTGATTGCATTACATTTACGAAGGATGCTGCTCCTTGATGTTTGGATGCTTTACAGGGTTATTCACAAAGCTGCCGAAGGCAGTCGAGTGAATAACCGAGCCGTAGTGAAGTGAGCTGAACAGCGTTCGGCTATTCACCACGGCTTAATGCGGCTGATTTCAGCTGTACATCGGATGCACTTCGGTCAGCCGCACATGCTCTGCATGTTCGGCTGAGCCGTAGTGCAGAAGGACTTCGACTCAGCCGATCCAACATCTGGATCGGCTGAGCCGAAGCTCTAGCAGCTCACTCACTGCCATTCGCCCCTATTCTCACAGGGGCTGAACGGCAGTGAGTGAATATCTAAATGCCGCCGAGCAGCATGCGGCTCGGCTATTGTGAATAGCCTCTACAGCAGTTCTTTGGTTCGACTGAACCGAAGGGCTCCGGGGGCCGAAGAGAGTTGCAGGATCAGCCTAAGCTACGGTTGGATCCCTCGGCTCCTTTGTGGATAACCCCCTTAGTTTCCTGCAGAATTAGCCGGTCCCCTGAGCACTGATCCTGATATCGTGTTTTAAGGTTGCTCTTTTCCCTTGCAGTGTCCTATGGAGCCACCCTTGTGTGTGTGCAGACATACAACAGGCAAGAATTTACCCCCCGCCCCAAGCTAGTACATGGACAGCAGCTAGATTCTGCTCTGTCCCTTGTGATCTTGTACTAGACAGGAAGTTCAGGGAAGCGGAGGTAAGAGAGCTGGAAGCAGCTATTCAGCTATTGGAAAAAATGTAAAGAAATACTTTGCAGGGCAATGTATATTTTTTTGATTTGGATTCAATACTGAGAGAAAAAAAATTGAGAGTTCAATACTACTTTAAAAGCCTGGTTTCCTGAGCAATTATATGAACACTTCAAATAAATGTAATCAGTTTGGAGACAACAAAATGTTTACCGGATTTTTCGCTCTATAAGACGCACTTTTTTCCCCCCAAAAGGAGGGGGAAAATGTGCCTGCGTCTTATGGAGCGAATCCCGACGCCCGAGACATGCAGTTTCGGGCGCCCGGCGAGTAGTAGGAGCCACTGCTCGTTTAAGACGAGTGATCTAATGAGATTACTCGTATTAAAACCGAGCAGCGGCGGCGGCGATCGAGATCAGTAGTAGGAGCCACTGCTCATTTAATACAAGTGATCTAATGAGATCACTCGTATTAAAACCGAGCAGCGGCGACGATGGAGATTACCATAGAGCAGACGAAGAACGGACTTTCTTCGTCTGCTCTGTGTGATCACTGAGACCGTGGCGCTGTAATCACAGCGCCACCTGTCTCAGCGGTCACTACCTGCAGCTTCTGTCATAGAAGCTGTGACAGAAGCTACGGTCTGTCGAGTGCTCCATAAGGCGCGCCGGACCTCCCTGCGTCCTATGGTCCGGTGCGTCTTATGGACCGCAAAATACGGTAATTCATAATGTATCTATGCAAAAAGAACCAAACAGGAAAACTGCTCCTGCCAACTGTGCCATTTTATTACTAAGCATCGCTCTATAGCAGTTGTATGTAACCAGCAGTATAATTTTGTTTGAAATACATATTATATATAACTCCCAAAACAAAAAGGCAACATTTTATTTCCTTAGACATTTTGAAACATGGTATAAGAGCCGTTACAAGTTCTTGGGCCCTGACAAAATGTGCACCAGGGTACACCTAAAGGTGTATCTACAGTGTGCTCATAGGATATAATTAAGATATCATTGAGCCTGATTTATTAACCACTTGCTGTCAGGAGCAATTTCTTACATTTGCACACACATGATAAAATCTGAATGTGTGGCTAGAAAACAGCTTCAAACCCCCAAACAATAATATATTTTCTGAAAGCTGAGGCCATGTAGAATAAAAAGATGTTAGTTGCAATTTTTTATATTGCACTGTATTTGTGCAAATGTTTATTAAACAAGTATGTTTGGGATAAAATACACTAAAATTAAATTTAGTGCACAGAAACATAATATAATCTGTGAAACTGCAAAAATAATACAATAACCAAAATGTACCATAGCTGACGCTTTAAACACTTTTACTGCTCATCAGTTTAGTGTTAACAGTGATTGATGGGCCTAGAATTATTGCTCTCACTGCGATGCTCATGACGATATGCAATATGTGTGGCGTAATTTTAGTTTTTTGCACGCTGGCGCATCTGACGTTTGTTTGCGTATGTGCGTGCACGTGCGTTATGTTACTTTGATTTTTACCATTTTTTTTCTACACTCAACTTTATTGCTATCACACAGGGGGATAACAAGCCCCCTATGTAATAGCAAATATAATATGACAGGTCTTCTTTACAGGGACATCAGGGGTCTTTCAGACTCTTAATGTCACTTAGGGACCGCAAAGAAGCTAAGGAAGCAGATATCTGCTTCGCCAGCTTCTTCTCCTGGCTCTAAGAGCCGGAGAATGTGCACAGTGACACCAGAAGTGATGTAATACACAGCATATAGCACACCAATAGTGTGCTATATGCTGAGTTATGGGTCACAGGAGGACATAGTAAATGTGACCCTTAAGAGACCCAAAAAAGGTTGGGCCATAGTTCTCTTTTCATGTTAGGTAATTGCAGCAGAGAAAAAAAGCTTTGGAAGGTAAAACTGCCCCCTTATATGTATTTCATCTGTGTATTTGGCTGTTTGGAGTTCATCTTAAAGAAGAACTCCGGGCAGAATTATTGCTCGTTTTCTTCTAGGGAGAAAGATTTTAAAAAAAAAGTTATACACTACTGAACCTTGCAGCTGGCTGGCTGTTAGACCGTTCCCTCCTCCACTCCAGCAATGGTATGTCCCTACGGCATCCTCACATCTTATAAACTGTATAGGACGTGATGACGCAAAGGAAACTTAGAGCCCGGAGCAGTATAATGCTCAGTAACTCAGAAAGTATTAAAACCATGGGATTAGCACAGCAGTTAGGCAACCAGCATTCTAAAACTGGCCATACACAGCTCAAATTTCTGCCTAAATCTGCTTGGCCCAATCAGTACCACTCCTTTCGACAATGGTTGATTTTTGTCCAATTTACGTTTATCCTTGGTGCCAGCTGGAAATTTCCTGCTATCAATTTTTTTTAAATTACTCACTGACCTCATGAGTAGCTCCACATACAATCAGAAGTGAGAGTCAGGTGCTGGTTCGAAGTAACTCCTTTGGGCATGCACAGGAGTTCCTTCAACCATGGCGTGTCAATGGAGACTACAAATCCCAGCAATACAATATACAGCAATGCAGATTATCATCAGCTATAGAGGACTACAAATCCCAGCAATACATTATACAGCAATGCAGAATACCATCAGCTATAGAGGACTACAAATCCCAGCAATACATTATGCAGCAATGCAGAAAAATATGAAGCTACATACTCTGTGTTGCTCTGGGGTGCCAGCCTGATGTCTCCAGCAGAGGATCTCAGGAGGGCTGTGCATGGTCTCAGATGGACTTGCAGCATCTCACCAGAAGTAGGACGAGATGTGAGGCCAGCGCTGTAAACAGGCACAGTGAGGTCCCCGGAAGGCTGCCACAAGGTCACCAGCAAGCATGCAGCAGCCAAATATATTTAAAAGTTTAAAGGGCCAGTATTAGCTTTTAGTATCGGGACATTTTCACAAGTAAAAGTACTCATGAAAATGCCCAGTATCAGCACTGATATCAATATCAGTGCATCCCTAGTACAAAGTTAATGCAGTGCAATGCTATAAAAAAGTAGAAAACAACAGCAGATGTTGCAATTCAATTCATACCATACGTTATAGTGACAGCAGACACTTCTTTAGGATCCGGGCATTGTAGGAATGTTTGCCAGGTTGCTGCAACAGTTGCTTCTGTCTTGCGCAAAGTTACAAGCAGAGTATTCTAGGTGAAAGGATCATTCCCTTTTCCTGAAAAAAAAAACCAACTGAACATTAATTGAAAGAGAATCTGCATCAACAAATAAAAGCTGCTTCCTGTATATAGGGCCATTATCACGGCAGTAACTGCACTACTTCTACAGGGTGCCTGGACATAGATCTGTCAGGAAAGGACAGTGCTATACAGAACTGACATCACTTGTTATACAAGAAGAGAGGGGCTGCTGTCAGTGTCAGACTAGCTAAAGCAGACATACTGCTACAAATGGCTGTAACCAATAGATAACAGTCTCCCAGCCTACCTTTTTCTAGCCTGATGCGGTGCTGCTACACAAAGTCAAAAGGTTTTTAAGCAATTTCAAATGCTAATTAAATTACTTACAATGGATGCTGCTCCTTGATGTTTAAAAGTTTTAGCTGTTTTAGGATGGCTCCTTTCCCTTGCAGGGTCATATGGGGCCACCCTAGTGTGTACTAGTAAGCTGTGCGAGCCTCCACAAAACACACAGACAGAGCAAGGCAAGCCATTTTGTTCCTCCCTGCTCCCCCAGTCTCAAAGCTAGTAGATTAACAGATGATGTAGACTGTACTATCTTTTGTGATCTTGTACTGGGCAGGAAACCCAGGGGAGTGGAGCTGATAGAGTTGGAGCTGACTGTTTAGAAACATGATGACTATAGGCGCTTGAGCAGACATATATATATATATATATATATTGGGGCAAAAAAGTATTTAGTCAGCCACCAATTGTGCAAGTAAAGCGGAACTACACTTAAGTAGCAGGAAAGGCTATGCAATAACCCACCGTTTGCCTCCCCACTGCTCTTAAATGTGCTGCATACAGTTTGTAAGAAATCTCAATGCAAATAACTTTTCTTAATCTTTTTCCAAAAGGTCACATGATCCGGCGAGTGTGTCTGCCGACTTTGCCTGTGCAGCTGAGGGGTGTTCATTCTTAAAGGGTCCACAATGCCTTACAGCTATAGACTCCAGTGAGGTGATATCACTGTTCTAAGGATTCAGCGCCGTTGTTGGCTCTGCACCCATTGACACACTCGTCGGAGCTTCATGATCATGTGACTGCTTGGAAAACGATTAAAAAGGTATTACCACTGAGTTGAAACTGTATGCAGTAAATATAAGAGCAGTGGGAAGGCGCCATTTAAAAAGGTGGGTTATTGCTTAGCTTTTCCTTCTATTTTAAATTATTAACAAATTGTCAGAAGGTGCAATTTTATTGCAGATAGTTCTTCCTACCTCTTTTCTTTAATGGTACACTGAATGCAGTGTTCAGTCCCATCATCTGTAAGATGCAGAAGCAATGTGACTCCTTTGTTTGTATAGGAGTTCCATCATCCGTGACCAACCAATGGCTGAAACCAATGGCTGAAACAAAGCAATGAGGAAAAGCGTGGAGCTTGCATCACTGGCAGATAGCACAGTAAAGGGTAGGTAAAGAGATCACTAGAAGGGATGAGCTTAGGTTAGGATCGAACTAAGCCTGAACTTGTGCTCCCTTCTCTAAATGCGGAAAGAAGCTCCATTCACTAACACCCAACCAGCAGCAATTAGAGAATTCCCCACCTGCAGCTGGACATAAACAAAGGGGTGGGATGCTGTGACATCATTGACCTCTAATGGCCACATGACTATATATGGTCAATGACAATGACCTAATATGGCCATATTAGGCCAATGATGTCAGCACAAGCATCCCGCCCCTTTGTTTATGTCCAGTGTAGGTGACCCCAGGGTATTTCCAGGTTCAATAGAGCTCAGGTTCGGACCTGTTTCAGTCCGAACCTGAGCTCATGCCTAATCATCACTTCCATACAGTTCCAGTTTAAAGTAGTACTAAACCCTCACAGCTTTATAGTAATTACATTTGTATCAGGCAGTTAAGTGCAGGACATAAAATATTTGCATAATATAATGTACAGACGCTTCAGTTCCCACCAATGTTTTCTGAACTGCTGGCCTCCAGCTTGCTCTGTGCGCTTCCCTAAACTTCGAGTAGGGGAGTGCGCACTCACCGCAGCACTCCTGATCCATTCCACAGGACTACAACTCCCAGAATCCCAAGTGACACTGCACATGCGCACAGTGTCTAGTCCTCCCTGGCTACCCTGGGCATGTCAGCGCAGGCAGCTTTGTAGCAATGGCTTGCAGCAGGTGCTCTCTTGGGAGCGCACATGAAAGTCTGGCTCCATAGGGAGTGTGCAGAGGAAACCTGTGTCAGGGATCTTTGGACCGATTAATTTCAGAAGAAGGCGTAAACACATGCGTATACACATACATTCATTCTATTGGCTAGGATAAATCAGTATTCTAGACAATAAAATGAATTTACACACAATAGCCTCTAAACGCCAACAATAAAAAATTGCTTTAAATTGGATTCTTGCAGAAAGTACAACGTGGATGGGAGTACTTTAATATGCCCCTGTAAGTTTCTTTTCTTCACGTACTTTTGCCTTGTCTGCCCTGGGTAATAAGTACCCTGGTCAGTAAAGGGATACTTCAGTAATGGAGCCTTGGTGACCCACTTGCCTAGTCTACTGTAACACTGCTCTTCCATACCGTATAGACACAGATACAATAAGCGTGCAGTGTCACTTGAACTCATGCATGCTGGTTCCATACAAGAACACCGAACAATAAACACACAGCACATAAGACAACGAAGAAAAGTCAGCTCACCGGCGCTGAGCTCCCGTCCATGATAACGCAAGGAAAGCACTAACACAACATTCCACCCAGACCGATCTTCCGTTACTTATCCTCCAGCACCCACAACAGCTCCCCAGTTACCGGCCCCGCCTTTTTTGCCGTCACCAAGACAACAAGGAACCAATCCAATCAGAGGCAGGGGAACCTATAGCCTGAAAGAAGCCGTATAGGGCAATCCCTGACTGCGTGCTCGCTGGCGTACGCGTCCCAGAGACTCGGGAGCGCGAGAAGGACGTCACTACATATGGGCGTGTTCAGTGTGAGCCCTGAGGATGCGCACGGGAGCGGGCATGGCGCAGGGTGATATGTGCATACTGGTCCACAGCGTGCTGTTCTGTGTAGAGATGGGCAAAATGGTTCATCTGCATGAGCGTTCCTCAACGGATCGCTCACTGAAAAGATCCGGATCTTGTAAATGGCTCATGGTTCACTAAACCGCTCTTTTTACTAGGGTAGCACCCCACCCACTATAATGCATTGCTGGGACTTGTAGTCTTACATAGTTGAAGCTATTCTGCATTGCTGTATAATCATCATACAGCAATGCAGAATACCACCAGCTATACGGGACTACAAGTCCCAGCAATACATTATAATACAAATCAGCTATGCAAAATACCACCAGCACCCCCCAAAACACACACACTATAATGCATTGCTGGGACTTGTAGTCCTACATAGTTGGTGCAATTCTGCATTGCTGTATAATCATAAAGGCACGAGGAGCGGAAGAACTATATAATTCCTGATCCATTGAGAGCCAGATTAAAAGATGCGAAAGAACCAAATCATTCCTGAGTCTGTCTGACTCTTGAGATCTGTCTCTTGGGCTCACTGATCCGTCTCTCACAGATGTGATTGGTTGCAGGGGTGGGGCGGGGCTGTCAGAAATCTGGCTCTTACTCTAGGATAATATTACAAGAGCCGATTACACTCTTGTCCCACTCTCTGCTTCTACATTCCATCCACAGAGCACAGACCAGAAGAACCGCCGCTCATTTTTACTGAGCCGCCGCTCTTTCATTCTTCTGAGGGAGCCGCTCAATAGATCCGGATCGCTCATGAGCTACCCATCTCTAGTTCTGTGCTCTAAGACACGAATAGGAATATGGACTTGCAAGCTGCTTTCTTCCTTAAGACGTTCTGGGTGCAGTTCTGATTAAAAAAATAGAGACATGGCCAGGCCCGGATTTCCCACAAGGCCACCGAGGCCAGGCCTCGGGGCGGCAGATTATAGTAAGGAAAAATTACCGAAATTTAAAAACAAAAAAAATAATGTCTCCTATATTAAATGATAAAACATTTATTGTTATCCAATTTTATGGTAAAATATAAAAGACAGGGTCACGTCGGGTCAAACGACACCATACATGTCAAGTCTTAAAATTGCGCGCGCCCACGAAGCCTCAAAAAACTACAATACCCAAAATTGGCCATAGGCGATGCTTTTAACGTTTTTACTGCTCATCAGTTTAGTGTTACCAGTGATTGATGGCCTTAAAATGATTGCTCTCACTTCGAAGTTCGCGGCTATATGTAACATGTGTAGCGTAATTGTCGTTTTTGCGCGCTGGCGCATCTGATTTTTGTTTATATGTGCGTAAACGGGGGGGACTTAAACATTTTTTTTTTTTTTTTATAAGTGACTTTTATTATTTTTTTTACTTTTTTGATTTATGTTTTCATTTTTTTTGCACTTAATGTTATTGCTATCACAGAGGGGCATAACAATCACCCTATATAATAGCAAAGGCACACTGACAGGTCCTCTTTATGGAGACATTAGGGGTCTCTAAGACGCCTAATGTCACCTGGGGACCCCCAAGGAAGCTGATGAAGCAGAGATCTGCTTCATCAGCTTCTTCTCCTTGGCTATAGCAGCCAGATGACTGACAGGTGAATGCGGAATGATGTAATACACATCACTTCCGCATTCACACTACGAAGGGAGATCAGCAAAGAGGAAGATGCTGAACTCTCTCCCATCTTCCTATCTTACCTGAGCAAACTGAAAAGATATGCTGATTGGTTTATGGGCAACTGCTCTAGATTCTGCTTGAGTTTTGATAAATTCCCCACAATAATGTTTCAGAACAGCTCCAACTCTCTCAGCTCGGCTTCCCTGAACTTCAAGTCCAGTGCAAGGTCACAAGGGACAGAGCAGTCTTCAGAAGCTATCCATCTACTACCTGGGAGAAGGGGAAGCAGGAAGTGGCTTCCGTTGCTGTGTCTGACACACACAAGGGTGGATCTATAGGACCCTGCAAGGGAAAGGAACCACCCTAAAACAGGACATCAGAGGACCAGCTGACTCTGCAGGAAGCTCAAACATATGTCAAGGAACAGCATCCATTGAAAGTGATTTAATCAGCATTTGAAATACAGTGGTACCTCGGTTCACGAACGCCTCTGTTCACAAACAATTCGGTTCGGGACCAGGAAGTTCGTCAAAATTTTGCCTCCGTGGCCATCTTCCCCGCTCTGACACATGGTCGTGGCTTCCTGTACTCGAGATTGCGGTTGCAGGCAGGGCTGTGGACACTTACTGTGAAGCTTTTTTGTGTGCTTTGTAGCATAGTACTGTACAGTATTACTGTATTCAATCCAGCATGGCTCCCAAGAAAGTACAGAGCAAGCATGGTGGGAAAAAGAAAGCGCAGAGAGGTGACAAGAATGTGCAGAGCGTTAATGATGGTGACAAGAATGTGCAGAGCGTTATTGAAGGTGACAAGAATGTGCAGAGCGTTATTGAAGGTGACAAGAATGTGCAGAGCGTTCTTGAAGATGACAAGAATGTGCAGAGCAAGAATGGTGGTAAAAAGAAACTTGTGGTAAAAAATATTGTTTTCATATGGTTCAGAACGGATTAACCTGATTTACATTGATCCCTATGGGAAAATGTGATTAGTTTCACAACCAATTCGGTTCGCAACCAGAATCGTGAAACCAATTAAGTCCGTGAACCGAGGTACCACTGTAGCTTAACAACATTTTGACTTTACTATCACTTTAACCTCCCTGGCGGTATGATTATGTCAGGAATTTTGTACCAAAAGCGGTACAATTTTTTGTATGGAAATTTGGTGCTATCTATTGTAGGCCTGCAATTCTTAGTAAATCTTAGGAAAAACTCACCTAAATCGGTCCAAACAAGAGTCCAGCAGACATCCCAGGTATGATAAAGTTTGAAACACGGAATTAAAAAATTATAATATAATACATTATAAATAATTATAAGAAATTATAATATAATAAATTATTATAAATAATTATAAAAAATTATAATATAATAATTTAAAAAAATGGTCCAGTAAATGGGAATTCTGGGGGCGCAGCCTGATCCGTACCACAGTCAATAGAGTACCAAGTTCGCACATCACTGAGCTCGGTCGCAGAATCGTCGCTGTTTTAGGTCAAAAGCGGTTTTAGACCAGGTAGAAAACAGCGATAGTAAATTAGAACTACTTGCAGAATTGAGTGATAGCGATTCGTTGGGAAATTCCTCAACAGACACTGAAAGTGAGGACAGCGAGGATTCTGCGACCGAGCTCAGTGATGTGCGAACTTGGTACTTTATTTACTGTGGTACGGATCAGGCAACGCCCCCAGAATTCCCATTTACTGGACCATTTTTTAAATTATTTTATTATAATTTTTTATAATTATTTATTATATTATAATTTCTTATAATTGTGAAAAAGTGTCAGGCAGGGCACTGGACAAAGCTCTAGGGACAAAATTGAAGTGAAATAGTTTGATACATAAGTGTAATCATAGGAGATTACATTGTATTGTGTGTATTCTGTGTACATTGCAACTTTTCACTTTTGAATTTCCCGCCGGCTGTGACGCTCGAAAACGAAAATAAAAATCAGATGTCGGCTTTTAGTTTCATTTTCGAGCCGCGTACAGCAGAGGACGCCGCGGGATCGCAGGGACAAGGTGAGTGTCACTTTTTTCTGCAGCCCCGAGTCTGGCTCGGGGTTACCGCTCCTAGCATTGAAAATTAACCCCGAGCCAGACTCGGGATTACCGCCAGGGAGGTTAATAAAAGAAGAATGTGCATTTATTAAACTAGAACTGAAGCCAAAACTTTTTTTGGAGTGGAGAGTGATTACAGCTTTTATTAGGAAGATTCACCACTGTTATTTGTTTTGGTGACTGTTATCATATCAGGAAAATCAGGTGACAGAAAATCCAGTATTTTCAGTTGTCACCAAAACATGAATAGAGAAAAAATACTGCAATGGGGACACTAATTCTGGTGACTACTAGGCATTTCCCCTCCGTCCTGTTGTGACTATGGCACAGGAAGTGAAGGGTCATGTCCTCCAATGGCTTTAGCTATAGATGTCACCAGCACGACAGAAACTTGTAAGTCAGTGCAAATCCATTTATTTGATAAATGCCACTCAGGATATCAAGCGCTTTCGGGGGCCATGCAGGGTCCCCTTGATCAGGCTCAGAGTAGACATTGTATGGTAAAGAGCCACAACCAATATATACACATATGCTATAACAAGAAATGAGACAAATCAACATATCTCCCCACCCCCTGACATCATAACGACGTCATATTCCCGCCATTAATGTTTCAAATAAAGTAAACAAAGACTGTAATTAAGGTGCAATGGATATGAACCGCATCAATGTCATTAGACATGCAAAACGAATCTCACCAGACTGAAGAGATTGGCCGATGACACATAAAGAACGTGAACATCACTGTCAACATTCTGGAGCTGCTCAAATGAAGCTGATGTAGCGGGTAACGGCCGCAGGTTGTCAAGGAAACGCTTGTCTATAGAGGGCAACCCTCAATGCATCACGGAGTTGTCATACTGCTGCGCCATCCACCCCCACGCACAAGTGTGAGTCAGAGCAAGATTGTCATGGACACCCAGCAGCATCGTATCGCTGAGTGTCCAGGACAATCTTGCTTTGACTCACACTCGTTCGTGGGGGCGGAGCTTATCACCCTCCCGACCCAATCATTATGCTTTTTCTTTAAACACTTGCTGACCGGGGTGTTAAACCCCCTTCCTGGCCAGACCATTTTTCAGTATTCAGCCCTGCAGTACTTTGACTGACATTTATTCCGTCATACAACGCTGTACTGAAATTAATTTTGTACCATTTTTTTGGGAACAGATAGAGCTTTCTTTTGGTGGTATTTAATCAC